TTTTTCGAATTATATTAAGGTCAGCTACCAGGCACTTTAGTTAGTTGACCGCTAGTCATTCACTCAACAAAGTGGTCGCTTTGCAATTTATTCAACGCAGTGCTTGCTCATTAGTTACGAATTAACGTAATTATTATTTATTTGAATAATGGACTCTAAACTTAAAGAATTAGTTAAGAAACGTGCAAGCTGTAAAGCTAAACTTACGCTTTTCAGCAATTATTTAAATGTAGTCCTTTCTTGTTCACGATTAAGTGATTTACAAGTAACAGAACTGGAAACCCGACTTGATAAAATGGATTTATTATACAATGACTATGATAAAATACAGGGGGATATCGAGCTGCTGATGGAGGACTCCGCCGAGGCATTGGCTGATCGCGAAGCCTTTCAAAACCAATACTTCTCCTTGGTGTCATCGGCGCGCGAGGTGCGACGTCAGCATAGCGAGCGAAGAGCCAGCGTGTTGGTGAGTTCCGTACAAGCTTCAGATAATAATGACGCCACACAGTCGAAACATAGTGTTGTGAAATTACCACAGATTAGTTTACCACATTTTGATGGAAGCTATCAGCATTGGCTCGAGTTTAGAGACACGTTTGATTCTCTTATACACAAGAACACATTGTTGGATGACATAAGTAAATTTCATTATCTGAGGTCCTCGTTAAAGGTGCTGCTGCCTTAATTATTAGAAGCTTGGATTTTAATTCTGGTAACTACAGCATCGCCTGGGATTTATTGACGAAACGTTACAATAATAATCGTCTTTTGGTAAATAATCATGTTCAATCGTTATTTAATGTCGATCAAATAGAAAAGGAGTCCAGTAAAGCAGTACGTCATTTAGTCGATAGTACTACAAAAAATCTCAGAGCTTTAACAATTTTAGGACAACCGACGCAGCACTGGGACACCTTAATTATTTATATAATGGCTCACAAATTAGATACTAAAACTTACGTTCATTGGGAAGAATTTAGAAATACGTTATCCGAGGCACCTACATTGTCTAAATTTTTAACTTTTTTAAATAACAGGGCAGACTTGTTGGAATCAGTTGAGGACTCTGAAGCTATTAAAAACAAGACCTCAAACAATAAATCAAATAAGCAAAAAAGTTTTGCCATAACATCAACTGATAATAATAATATTTCAAATAAGGTTTCGAGCTCAAATTGTCCAATGTGCAAACAAAGTCATGTTTTATTTAAGTGTGATAGTTTTCGAAAACTGACGTCAGATGTTCGTAATCAGAAGGCTAAAGAATACAAGGTTTGTCTTAACTGTTTAAACCCGGGCCATTCCGAACAAAAATGCAAATTGTGGGCTCGGTGCAAGTATTGTAAGGCAAAACATAATACACTGTTACACGTAGACAAAGACAGTGAGCCGACTACCAGTAGTCAAATAACAGATAATGTTACTTTAACTGCCAAAGCTATACAGAATACTACTTCGTCCACCGTATTGCTTTCCACAGCGAGGGTGAAGGTGCGCGACAGCAGCGGCCGCAGCCACGTAGCGAGGGTGCTGCTGGACAACGGCAGTACCGCAAACTTTATAACTGAGGAGCTGTGTGGTAAGCTGGGTTCACTTAAACGTAACGTAAACTCCAGAATAACGGGTATTAACCAGCAAACTTGTAAAAGCACACAGTCTTGTTCCTTAACCTTAGAATCTTACTCGGGTAAATTTAAAACAACAATTGATTGTTTAGTATTACCAGAGATAACCAAATCATTACCATCGACATTAATTGATATAAGTACTATTCCACTTCCATCAGGCATCTGTCTAGCTGACCCTCACTATTATAAACCGTCAAGCGTAGACATTTTACTAGGTGCTGAACAGTTCTGGAATATTTTAGGTACTAACACAATAAATCTAGGCAAATGTCAACCTAGGTTATACGAATCTAAATTAGGATGGCTTATTTCTGGGTTTATTGCGCAACCTAGTCCATCCCGTGACCAACCAGTGTGTAATTTTGTGCAGGAAATAAAACCTGAACTCACTCGGTTTTGGGAACTAGATTCAATATCAGAAAAACATTCGTTGTCAGCCGAGGAACGTGCATGTGAGGAACATTTTTTACGCACTACTACTCGTGGCGAAGACGGGCGTTTTATTGTTAAAATGCCATTTAAACAGTCACCAGATGTTTTAGGTGACTCATACCAAATGGCGAAAGTTCGATTTCTTTCGCTCGAACGTAGGTTTGAACGTGATCCCTTATTCAAAGGTAGGTATATCGATTTTATGCACGAGTACTTGCAATTAGGGCATATGTCTGAAGTTAGTAACTCAAATGATAACATAAGTTACTATTTACCACATCACGGTGTTACGCGCGAGCAAAGTACTACAACTAAATTAAGAGTTGTCTTTGACGCGTCAGCTGTGACGACTTCAGGTATTTCTTTAAATCACCTACAAATGATCGGTCCGACTGTACAGGACGATCTTTATTCTATTTTACTTCGTTTTCGAAAACATAGATACGTTGTATCAGGAGATGTAGAGAAAATGTATAGAGCTATAGATTTAAATAAATCTCAACGCTCTTTACAAAAAATCCTATTTAGATTTAATCAACATGAACCGCTTAAAACCTTTGTTCTTAATACAGTTACTTATGGCACCGCTTCGGCACCATACTTAGCGACAAAGGCACTCGTAAGTCTCGCTTCACAGGCGTCTAATGATGACGTAAAGCAAGCTATACAACGGGACATGTACGTTGATGATTATTTGGGAGGCAGTGACACTGAGTCAGCAACCATACTGTTATGCAAGGAGGTGAGTTCGATTTTAGCATCAGCTCAATTCAAATTAAGAAAATGGCAATCTAATAGCCCACAAGTGATGAAGGCTATGTTGTCATCCCTTGATCAGAATGATAATAACATTCTGGATTTAAATCGTAATCAATCTCATAACACTGCTAAAGTATTGGGCTTAAACTGGGTTCGCGATTTAGATCAGTTAACTTTTTCTATAAATCTACCTCCAACTAATAAAATAACTAAACGTTACATTTTATCTTGCATTAGTCAAATCTTTGACCCATTAGGGCTAGTAGGGCCGTGTGTCGTATTGGCAAAGATAACAATGCAAAAATTATGGTTAGAAAAATGTTCGTGGGACGAACCGGTTTCTCGTGACACTCAAGAATGTTGGTCGTCATTCGTCACTACGTTATCGTGTTTGAATAATTTAAACATACCACGGCATGCATTTAGTGTTAATCATAAAATAATTGAGTTGCACATTTTTACAGATGCATCCGAGTGTGCCTATGGGGCATGTGTGTACGTTCGTTGCCTAAATAATGATGATACTATAACCGTTCACCTTTTAACTTCGAAAAATAAGGTAGCTCCCATTAAACATACAACCATACCCCGTCTTGAACTGTGCGGGGCCTTGTTGGGAGCAAGACTGAGTGCAAAGGTAGTAGACTCACTAACTATTAAAATAAATAAGTGTTATTATTGGTGTGATTCGACGATAGTTCTCTGTTGGTTATCTGCATCGCCGAATAAATTAAAGCCTTTTGTTCGTAACCGTGTCAGTGAGATACAAGAAAGTACCGGGGAAAATTCTTGGAGATACGTGTCGTCGAAAGAGAACCCGGCCGACTTCATATCTCGCGGGCTGAGGGCCGATCAAATCGGCACCTGTAAATTGTGGTGGTCGGGCCCAGAGTTTTTAAAATTAGGTGAAGATCGTTGGCCTAAAATGCCAAATACAGGTTCTAATTCCGACATACCTGAATTTAAAGTTCATTTAGTAGATAACTGTCAATCAACTCAATCAGTTATCAGTCGTTTGATTAGTAATAAATCTAACATAAACAAATTAAAACGTATTTTCGCTTATGTACTTAGGTTCATTTTTAATTTAAAAATCCTAACAGCAGGTTGTGTGGTCATTTATCCTGTGATGAATTAAATGAAGCATTTACTGTTATGTTACGTTTTAGTCAAATGGAAATGTTTTCTGACGAATACAAAACACTTAGTTTAAAAAGGCCACTATCCAGCAAAAATAGGCTTGCTTCACTGTCTCCATTTATGGATGATCGAGGTGTAATTCGCGTAGGTGGCAGGTTAGATAACGCTAACTACAGTTACGACACAAAACATCCAATATTGCTAGATAGTAAACATCACATTACGAAAATATTATTTCGTTGTGAACATCTTAAGCTTATGCATGCAGGGCCACAACTTCTTTTATCACACATTCGTCAAACTTACTGGCCTTTAGGAGGTAGAAATTTATCTAAAGGTACATTCAGAGAATGTGTCAAATGTTTCAGATTTAGGTGTCAAGCGGTGCAACCAGTCATGGGTCAGCTACCACGCACGAGGACACAGCTTGAATTTCCGTTTTATAATTGTAGTGTCGACTACGCCGGACCAATGCTGATAGCTGACCGTAAAGGCAGAGGTGCCAGACTCATTAAATCCTATATCTGTGTGTTCGTCTGTTTGGCAGTAAAGGCTGTTCATCTGGAGCTTGTGACGGATCTCACCAAAGACGCCTATCTTGCCGCGTTAAAGAGATTCGTTGCTCGTCGGGGTAAACCACACAGTATCCTCTCTGATAACGGCACAGCTTTTGTGGGCGTATTTAATGAGCTTGCACAATTCTTGGCTAATTCAAATTTAGAAACCTATTTTGCACAAGAAGCGATAAAGTTTAGCTTTACTCCTCCTTATAGTCCACATTTTAATGGTATAACAGAGGCCGCCGTTAAGTCTACAAAAAGACACTTAAAAACCATTGTTCATTCTTCTCATCTAACATATGAGGAGATGAACACATACCTAGTCCAAATTGAGGCTATATTAAATTCCCGTCCCCTTGTTGCTCTTTCTTCGTCTCCTGACGACCTTACCGCTCTCACTCCTTCGCACTTTTTAATTGGACGACCGCTAATATCCGTTTCTCAGCCGCAGGTACACTCCGTCAACATCACTCGATTGGACCGCTACAAAAGAATTGAGCATCTACGGCAACACTTTTGGAACCGATTCAGTCATGAATATGTTG